GAACTAATTGCCCTTGTCAAGAAAAATTAATACTTTCTTCTATTCTGATTTTATAAGTTATTTGATAAATTCTGATGTCTTTACATTCGATGCAATAATGATAAACTAATCATTAAAGCTTTCATCTTCTTTATTGGGTGTGTTATCGGTGAAATATAGGTTGCTGACATTTGCTTCAGACCTTGGGCCGAATATCGGCCTCCAAGCAGATCAAGATAATCACAAGAGATATGCACGGCATCATTAGTGGTAGACAGATAGCCAGAGACTTTGGTCCACTTCTACTTTATTTACAGGCTGCTGTAATATAGCTGGAACATTGCTTGTTGGCATTTTAATCATAATGTTCATTATTGTTTTGATAATTGATCAACAATCGTATCAGTATCATTTTAAAATATATTTAAAAACGCACAATCTAATTAAAAACAGATCTTAGTTATGCTAGTGCTTTACAAGGATCTGAGGTCACAGGTCACATCTGAATGACCTTTTGCGCACTTTGACTGACCAATGAAATGACTAACAAGAAATCGACAGTAGCCAACCAGAAGCATCTTTACAGCGCTAGTTTCAAATGGGTGACACAGGCTACACTTTGAAACTATTTTGATGATATTCCTCGTTCAAAATTTGAAATTGGAACAAAAGAACATTCGGGAATGTCTATAAATAGATGGCCTAGATTGTATGGCAGTACTTCCCATTGGTTGTGTAAAATCTCTCCCATTTCAACTGTTTATCCCATTGCAGCGTCCCGTGAAGACGCCGGGGTAGAATAGGTCTTCAGCAACCCATACTTGCCGTAAAAGGTGACTATGCTTGTCGTAAAAGGCGACTAACGGGATCGGGTGGTCAGGCTTGCTGACTTGGTTGATGCATGTCATCGATCCCAATTGCGTGGATCGATGCTCATGATATTAATCACTGGATTGTCTAGTCCAGACTCGATTATTTACAGACCGCCATCATATAGCTGGAATATTGCTGAGTGAGGCGTTAAACAACAAACAAAACAAACCAAACCCATTGCAGCGAGAGATGATTTTGACAGAACCTGTCGTATGGTCTGTAACTGTCGTTTTGAAAACCCTGTGTTAACCTTTTCTCGTTTGCATGATGAGAAAACACACTGCAACTGTCACATTCCTGATCAAGTAAGCAACACTTTGATCGGTCAGATGAAAGGTCGTTCTCTACGACCCGTAATGAGAATTTTGTTTAGCAGCAACAAGAACTAAGATCTGATTGTACTAAGATTGAACAAATACCCTTTGTATTTATTTATATAGCATCATCCATGTCTTCTTTAAAAGATACAGTAAACCTCGTTTATAACGAACACAAACTGTTCATTCGATCCCGGTCCCGGACCCGGACATTTGATATACATTTTATCATAAAAATATGATGGACATAACGAACACACTTATAACGAATCTGAATCCCTAAACTTGGTTCCTCAAGTATCTCGAATCTGCCTATCAAAATATCCGTGGCCAAGCCAAGCAATAAACAATTGAAGGCAATTGATTTTAAGTAATTACACCCTCAATGAACAATAGGAACGCAGTTATTAGGCTATAGCCTTTGAAATGGATATGTTCTGTGTATAAAATACCATGACTACAGTGAGGAAATCCGTCTTTCAATGAATGTTCAAAACAAATCACAGAAACATGTTTTTATGTTATGTATGATGAATGAACATAGTACATGTACCATGCACACTTTTGTTACTTATCAAGTAACATGATGTGCACATGACTTGATCCAGAATGTCTGGCTGTCAAAATGCATATAAGGAATGATGGATATAACAAACTGAAATTAGTAGTCCCTTTGAGTTGTTGTAACGTAGTTTACTGTAACTAGTTTGACACATTCTCACCCTCAAGTGATACACTGCTGAACAAAGGAGAGTGCCTGCAGCTGTGGTACTCTGGTTTTTATAACAGTCTCAGTGATGTAACAGTGTAACAAGGGGGGCACTGGTGGCCCAGTCGTCTAAGGCGCTGCGATTCGCCGTGCAGAGTTGCGTCCCTTTGCCCGCCAGAAACCTATGATCGTGGGTTCGAATCCCGGTTCGCCCCGATTATGTTTCTAGGTTTGTCAGCACCATACCCATGCTCGTGGGTTTCACCGAAGTGGTAAACGTCTGAGACCTGCATCACTTCAGGCTTTCCTCCCACATTAAGCTGACACGCCGCGATATAACTGGAATACTGTTAAATGCGGCGTTAAATCCAACTCACTCACTCACTCACGGGTAGAGTCCCGTCCGGGATTGTACCCACACTGCCAGAGTGAGGCACTAAATTGCCAACACCGACGGGACTCTACCCCAAAAAGTACGAGAATCTGTACTTTACTTAGAAAGTGTTATCCCCAATATAACATTTGTTACATTTCAACACTTTCTTAATGGCATTGTGTGTTCATAGTATCAGTGATGACTTGGTTTGGTTGTTGCTAGATTTAAGATTGTGTAAATTGAAAATATATTAGATTCAGTCTTGAAAGCAAACAAACAAACTGAGAAGCTGAAACCGATATAACACAAACAAGGAAATAAATAAAGTATTGAAGTACTTCCTCCACCCATAGTTATCTCTGCTCAAAGTTATCGCTTTGAAGATCGGCCTCGGTTAAACGTCTCATCGTCTATAACGCCCACCAATTATTTGGACCCCATTGGTAGCGTTGTAGCGAGGGACCACTGTAATTCAGCAGGGTTTGTCTGTGTTGTGAACATGTTGATCATGAATGTGTGCATCATACAATCATGGATCATTTTCAACTTCACGGAGTACAGATAACATGGATTGGTCTGTTGATAGTTCTGAGTTACATGCTGTGCCACACAAGACTGTGTTATCAGTGGTTGAGGAAATGACCTGAAGATAATTTTGCTTTTGTGATCAGTAAATGAATTTGGATTTAGAATGGGTACATGTAGACAGTGTTAGGGGTTGTCATAAAATATCCACACATTAAAGTTTTGTGTCTCCTTAAAAATGTCAAATATGGATTCTTATATGGGAGCCGTACCCAAGTGTGGACAACCATACCGTCATTACCCAAATGTGGGTCCTTGTTAGAGAGGTTTACCCACATGAATGTCCTGATGTGGGAGCCTTACCCAAATGTGGGTCCTTGTTTTGGAGCCTTACCAAAATGTGGGTCCTTGTTTTGGAGGCTTGCCCAAATGGGTATCCTTATGGGACAACCTTGCCCAAATGTACCGGGTAGGGTCCTTTTTGGGCAATTTTCTCAAAACAAATTTATTGCTCACCAGAACTGTCAATTATTTGTATGACAATCCCAAATATTGTTTATTTTCCCCTGGAAAAACCCTCCTGTTTCTCACCATGATGAGGGGCACGGGTGGCCCAGTTGTCTAAGGCGCCGAGATTTGCTGTACAGAGTTGCGTCCCTTGGCCCGCCAGAAACCTATGAAGTGGGTTCAAATCCCTGTTCGCCCCGATTATGTTTCTAGGTTTGTCAGCACCATACCCATGCTCGTGGGTTTCACCGAAGTGGTAAACGTCTGAGACCTGCATCACTTCGGCCTTTCCTCCCACATTAAATTGACATGCCGTGATATAACTGGAATACTGTTAAAAGCGGCGTTAAACCCAACTCACTCACTCACCATGATGAATTATATGCATGGCCAAGGCAGCGTAAATAGAGGTTATCATGCGTGTGTGATAGGATAGTAAATATCCTATATTACCAATACACATTGTATTTATCTGTGTAACTCTTTCCTTGTGCTGAGTATCTATCATTTATATTTTCAATTTGATAGTTATAATTTCCCTGTAAACATTAAACAAACAGCTGGAGAGGAAAACAATGTACAAACATATAATTGATCATCCCATCTATTGTAGGCAGGTGTTAGAGTTTTACTTATTTCTGTAAAGTGTATACCCGGTAATAAAAAATACATGAATGTTTTTATTAATACAATTTGACAAGTACACAGATATCATTTGCTGAGACAGGTAGTATTCATATTGAATGATAATGTGATTATGTGAACAATCAATAAGGATCCCTTTACTTTGCATGCTCACTAAACAAGTCTGAAATAATGTAAGGAGCTTAACGCTGTGAGTTGCTGTGAATGGTATAGAGGAAGTTCAGTTCTGGTAGGAAGCTTGTCTGTGTCTTGAGGAAATCACAGCTGTCCTTCATGACCTATGATGAGTCATTAGTAATCTCCTGACCAATGTACCACACAGCTAGAAATATAGGCCATGTGATCACGGGAGTCGCTCAATATCACTGCACATACCCACAAAATAATTTTTTGATTGAGGGAGTAAACATATGCCTGTTTTTTTTTTTTTAATTCATTGTCTGATCATGTGTTACCAATGGTCATAGATTGCAATCTCAAAAGAAACAGAATATTTCAGAAATTTAAACATACACTATTAAAATCGATGACAAAAAAGTAGTTATCAAAGCAGCCAATGCAAGAGGTTGTTACAATGTTGTTTTATTACAATATCCCTTAGGACTGGGACAAGTCCATATTTACAACCCTGTGAGTGAGTGAGTGAGTGAGTGAGTGTGTGTGTGTGTGTGTGTGTGTGTGTGTGTGTGTGTGTGTGTGTGTGTGTGTGTGTGTGTGTGTGTGTGTGTGTGTGTGTGTGTGAGTGAGTGAGTGAGTGAGTGAGTGAGTGAGTGAGTGAGTGAGTGAGTGTGTGTGTGTGTGTGTGTGTGTGTGTGTGTGTGTGTGTGTGTGTGTGTGTGTGTGTGTGTGTGTGTGTGTGTGTGTGTGTGAGTCAGTGAGTCAGTGAGAGTGAGTGAGTGAGTGAGTCGGAAAGTCAAAAGTTCTTTTGTATAATCCTATGAGTACTTTTAGTACATTGTGCTCACTGACATAGGAGCACTTGAATTGTTCTTTGGTGCGTTTTTTGACAGACGATTGAAGTAAGTGGTATGTTATGTAACCATGCTAACATTATTTTATTTTGTTTCAGCCAATGGCCAGGCAGGTCGGGTGTTGTCTGTCCAGGGGGTAAGTCTATAGTTCAGATTGGAAGATGGCCTTGTGGTATGGAAACCACTACTCAGTAAATTAACAAATCTATGGGAAATATTGATTGAAATGTGTGTAATTTGGCAACAATGCTTTGGATGGTTCTAAAATGAGTTCATTCACTACTTTATTTTCACACTTTCCTCTTCCACGTAGAGTGATGACAAGGTGTGCACTGACTGCATCAACTTCTTCACGGATGTTGCCAAGATGGTGTCGTCTGCTAACACAACTGTGAGTATTGTAGAGGAAGCCCAAAGATTTTCACCACTACGGAAATAGGTATTTTGAACAGTTTCAGAAAAACTAGTAATTGAGTTGAAATTAGCTTTGTAATTTTATTCTTTTTGCAGATTTGAATTTTTAGGAGAATACTTTAAAGTATGGTTTAATTCTATTGATTCTGGGAAACATATTTGATTTCCTTGATTAGATATATTGTCATACCAGTTAAATACTTTGCAAATGATATTAGCGGCTTGAAAGTAGTCTTGTTTAGATATTTTAGATGACTGTTTGTTCTCTACTCAACCTCCCTGAACATGATATATGTAATTCAGAATTCTCACTCTCTTAATTTGAATTCGAGCAGAGGCCACTTGTGCCGCTCTACGTCATTTTGATTCGTTTCATGTAAGTGAATAAATGGTGTTTACTTTCAGCAGTAAATGATAATTTGGCTAACTGATAGTGATAACACTGCATTATTTACCAGGCCGAGATCGAACAATTGTTGGACCAGATGGTGTGTTCTAGTTTGGGCTCGCTGGAAGATTTGGTAAGTCTATTCTTGAGCTTAATCATGTATACTGATAAGAATAAATAAAGCAACAGATAACATCATCAGCCTCAGAATATTTTTCACTAGTCGTCACAGTTTGTAGTAAAATCAATTCATGGAAAAATATATTTAACACACATGTGACAAGTCACTGAGGACAACCATCATTGGATTTTTTCATTGCCTTCGGCATTATTTAGTTTTCTCGGGCTAGTGGACTAGCATGAATTTGAAGGGTGTTTCATGTCCCCTGGAGAGGACTAAAGGGTTTGTTGGCACTGAAGGGACACACCACTCACTACATTACCATGTTTTATTGTTTGTTTGTTTGTTTAATGCTGCACCTAGCAATATTCCAGCTATATGTCAGTGGTCTGTAAATAATCAACTCTGGACCAGACAATCTTGGGATTGTTATCATGAGCAATCATCCACGCAATGGGAATACGATGACATGCATCAACCAAGTCAGTGAGTCTGACTACCTGACCCCATTAGTCGCCTCTTTTGACAAGCATGGTCATCTTTTTGCGGCAAGCATGGGTTGCTGAAGACCTATTCAGGCCGAAGGTCTGGGTTCGATTCCCCACTTGGGTACAATGTGTGAAGCCCATAGCTGGTGTCCCCCACTGTGATATGGCTGGAATATTGCCAAAAGAGGCATAAAACCAAACTCACTCACTCACTTACTCAAAAGCATTTTAGCTTCATCGATGTATGAACCAAGTTTGTTCTCTACCGCTTGATGTCAGACACCAAATTCAACTTGCTTTGTATGGTTTTAAAAAGTGCCCTCCTAAGGCACTTTTGAAAGCATGTACGGTAATAATTTAAACACCTAACATGCCTAAAGCATTGTTTTCATCATCCAAGTACCATTGTTGAATTTATGTAGACATCAAAGTTGTTGGAATGTTTTCTGATACTGTACTAGCCAGCACATACTCACTACCCTGGATGCAAGGATAGAATGTTGCATGCAATCAATTTGAGTGTCTGTTCTTGGACTAACATGAGCCAGAACCTTGATGCGTTGTCCCCATTTAGTGGCTGAATTCACTGTACAGCAGTATTGAAACATACTACTCAAAAGACCTTAAAGAAGACTATGGCTGTGACAGATTAACTAGTGTTGTATGAAAAAATCAGGTGTGGTCTAACCAGGGGTCCGGAAAATTTAAAATCCCAATCAGACATTTGCATTTAGGCCACGCCCCCTTCAAATAGTGTACTTAGTACGACTTTTAACACACATTACAAGTTGTTACGTATTCAAAATATGATGAAATAAACACCGATATTCATGTTGTTTGTTGTTTTATTTACATACATAAATATAAATATTAGACAAATAACAAAAAGATCATTTTAAAATTACATGGAAAACATATGTTTATTTCTGTTATAATATCGATTTGTTCATGTAACAAAACAAACAAAGCTTGTCAGTATAGATAATCTTCTTTATTGTGTTACAATTGCAGACAGAAACTGCTCAGTCAAAACTGTAGATCATGTCCGGTCAAAATTTAAGAATGTCCGGACAATTTGTTTAAAATGTCCAGATAGAAAAAATTTCAATGTCTGGTAAGCAATATTTTAAACTGGACATTTGAGATTTTCAATCGGACATGTCCGGCGCATATGACTGTTTCCGAACCCCTGGGTCTAACTTCTTTTGAGTAGTGTGTACATTTAATAGGGACAGAAACTTGACTTGTTGGAAACCAGAATATGTTTGGTCTCTCGTTTGATCCCATCAGTTGTTGATTGGAAAAAGCATAGAAAACAACACTGTTCAGAGTAACAAGGCTCTTCAGTATAGAAATGTGAAACTGTATTTTATTTTTGAAGTGTAAGCAAGTTCTGCACAGCTATGTGCCTCAAGTCCTGCAGTATCTTGCCAATCAAGATGTAAGTACATTTCACTGCCGTCATCTATGTCAGTATCCTAAACTGAGAATTATTTCTTAATATTAGTAAATGCTTTGAAACATGTGAGCAGGACACATTGTCTCAAGATCAAATGACTTGATAGTATACAAAGAAACCCAAACTGCTCATGGAGTTATTGTTGTTTGTTTTGGAGCGAAAATAGTGTTCACTTTTGGTAAAGAGTTCTCTTGTGGTAAAAATACTGCCTCTGTAGACTAGTGGTAGAGCGTCTGGAGAGCGGAAGGTCCGGGGTTTGATCCCTGGCTGCGTCATACGAAAAGACGTTAAAATATGGTACTTGTTGTTACCCTGCCTGGCACGCGACATTAAGGGGCTAAAACAAGGACTGGTCGGCTCAGAGTCAGTATTCTGTGTCTGAGTGGGGTATTCATGTTAAACTGCGGCATGGTATCTCAGGGCAAGCACTATAAATCGGCATCAGTCCGGACTAGTACAAGCCTGGACATGCACATCGCTATATAAGTGCAATAATCTTGGAAGTGACATTAAACCCTGTTTCACCTCACCTGTTGTGGTAAAGCATTCACTTGAGGTAACGCCTTCACTAGTGGTAAAGCATTCACTTGCCTAGTCACATTTTCTTATGTGGTAAAAAATGAGTGTGTTGAAAAAAGCAGGATCTATATAGAAAAAAATTTACAAGCTGTAGCAGCAGTGCAAGCAATGATTATGTCAAAGGCAAATATTGAATTTACATGTACCTTTTAGGCTGACTTATGTAATGCTTCAAGTAAAATGCTTGGACTCTTCCAGCTTGATATTTACACTATGTTGGTTGGCTGTTCCAGAACCCCAACCAGATCTGTGGACTGCTCGGCATGTGTACACAGGAAGTTCTGGAGCGAGCGGTAAGAACCATCTAGATCACTGAGCATAATCCAGGCACTCTTACCCGCCATCCTATGTTGATGTGGTGGACATTGCATGTGTGAAGTCTCTTTGATGTGGTGTGTTTTGAACCAGAAAATGTCTAACATAAATAAGATTGGCATTATGATTTGATCACTATTTTAGAAACACCAGTACAGTCTAGTCTTGTTAATCCGACAACCGGCTTTATCGGACATTAGTGATGGGAACCGATTAAATCAGTGATATTTAGAACCGTTAATCCAACAGTCTCGCGCTTCGACTCCGATACAGAATCAGTTGTACAGCCAGTATCTGTCATTTAGAATGTTAAACTTTGCGACACTCTGATTGGTCATGCTGACATGACCTGTAATGGGATTGCCTCAGATTGTTGTGTAGTGGTAGCAAGCACTTAGATCTGATTTCATGAGCTTTCTTTAACCATTGCCCAAACTGTAATCGCTGTAGGGCCTACATATATCGGATTGAAACCTTTACTAAGGATTTCTGATGGGAAGGGCTATGGCATGAAAAAATTTTGTGCTGTGAAACCACACTAAAGGCATGTCAGTGCACAGTAGCTACTTGTCAGAAACAGTAACTAAACTTAGGATTGGGTGGGTAATATGGATTCCCTGTTTTAATTTCTTAAGTCTGTATTTTTTGTTAATGGACATTTCCAGGCTGTAATCAAAATTAAATACTGTTTAAAGTGGCACTGAGCCAACCCACTCACTCACAGGAGGATCTAGGTGTCTAATTACGTTAAGGTCCTTTGATCCTTGTAATGTAGCCAGACATAGGGCACGTAACTTATTCACTCACTCACTCTCACTCCAGTCTGAACCTAACCGTCTTTTCTTGTCATCAGCATGCAGCACAGAAGCCAGTGTCCAGTGCATTTGAGTGTGACCTCTGCAAGCAGGTGGTCACTAAGCTGAGAGCCATGGACAGGGACCAGACAACACAGGTCAGTGAACATGCGGTCACTTGCTCAGTTTGGGGGGTAATTCAGTCGTATTACATTTTCAGAGTAGGTTTTGTTTGTTTTGTTGTTTAACTCCGCACTCAGCAATATTCCAGCTATATGACGATGGTCTGTAAATGATTAAATCTGGATCAGACAATCCAGTGATCGACATCATGAGCATCGATCCACGCAATTGGGATCAATGACATGCATCATCAGCCAAGTCAGTGAGCCTGACCACCTGATTCTGTTAGTCGCCTCTTACGACAAGCATAGTCGCCTTTTACAGCAAGTATGGGTTGCTGAAGACCTATTCTATTACAAATCTTAAAGGGTCTTCAGAGTAGGTCCCAAATATACTGTATTTGTAACAGCCGACATTGACGGCTGGCTAGGCTCGGTGACTTGGCTGATTGCCTGACAGTATACTCTTGGTATTGAATGATGCTCATGCTTTCACTCACTGGATTATCTGGTCTAGAGTTGATTGTGATGATGATGATGATGATGATGATGATATTGATATTGATATTGATGATGATGATGTGTGTTCCAGACTGAGCTGAAACAGTTTGTTGAAGATAATATCTGCCCATACCTCGGTACTGCTCAAAAACAGGTTGGTAATATTCAGCTTGGGAGGCCAGCAATGGATAAATGTAGCCTGTCTAGCATGTGGGACGGCCCTTTTGTCTGAGAACATTCAACTTCAGTATGTCAGTGTATTTATATCTCCATTCTATCAGTAGTAAGGTAACTCCCCAGTGTGATGACTTGACCACAGAATATAACAAGCAATCTGCAACAGGTAGACACAGAAGAGAAAACCTAGATCTGACAATTGTATGAGAGGAAGAGTCTGGGGTGATACTTCACCTGGAACTTGTGACAACATCTTTCAGGAAGATAATAAGTATGGGTGATCTGGAATATCAGTTTGTCATTTAAAGAATCACTGGTTTGACGTGTTCGCAAGCGATGCAAGTGTCAGCTGACCTGCACAATAGCATGTTGTAACAACCATATGTCTTTACTGTGCATGTACGTGCAGATACCCCCTTCTTGTCCATGTTGCAATTTCTGGCTGGTGTTAAACACTATCATAAGGAAACAGCAAGAAAGTTGATCAAATAATAAATACCATTTCTTTACTATACTACACAGAAATGTTAAGGACAACCCAATTCTTTCATATTACTATAGTTGATCTGTCATGCCAGATTAATTGTAATGTGAGAGAATCGGGTGGTCGTGTCATGCCAGATTGATTGTAATGTGAGAGAATCGGGTGGTCGTGTCATGCCAGATTAATTGTAATGTGAAAGAATCGGATGGTCGTGTCATGCCAGATTAATTGTAATGTGAAAGAATCGGATGGTCGTGTCATGCCAGATTAATTGTAATGTGAAAGAATCGGGTGGTCGTGTCATGCCAGATTAATTGTAATGTGAAAGAATCGGATGGTCGTGTCATGCCAGATTATTTGTAATGTGAGAGAATCGGATGGTCGTGTCATGCCAGATTAATTGTAATGTGAAAGAATCGGGTGGTCGTGTCATGCCAGATTGATTGTAATGTGAGAGAATCGGGTGGTCGTGTCATGCCAGATTATTTGTAATGTGAGAGAATCGGGTGGTCGTGTCATGTCAGATTAGTTGTAATGTGAAAGAATCGGGTGGTCGTGTCATGCCAGATTGATTGTAATGTGAGAGAATCGGGTGGTCGTGTCATGCCAGATTAATTGTAATGTGAGAGAATCGGGTGGTCGTGTCATGCCAGATTAATTGTAATGTGAGAGAATCGGGTGGTCGTGTCATGTCAGATTAGTTGTAATGTGAAAGAATCGGATGGTCGTGTCATGCCAGATTGATTGTAATGTCAGAGAATCGGGTGGTCGTGTCATGCCAGATTAATTGTAATGTCAGAGAATCGGGTGGTCGTGTCATGCCAGATTATTTGTAATGTGAGAGAATCGGGTGGTCCTGTCATGTCAGATTAATTGTAATGTGAGAGAATCGGATGGTCGTGTCATGCCAGATTATTTGTAATGTGAGAGAATCGGATGGTCGTGTCATGCCAGATTAATTGTAATGTGAAAGAATCGGGTGGTCGTGTCATGCCAGATTGATTGTAATGTGAGAGAATCGGATGGTCGTGTCATGCCAGATTATTTGTAATGTGAGAGAATCGGGTGGTCGTGTCATGTCAGATTAGTTGTAATGTGAAAGAATCGGGTGGTCGTGTCATGCCAGATTGATTGTAATGTGAGAGAATCGGGTGGTCGTGTCATGCCAGATTAATTGTAATGTCAGAGAATCGGGTGGTCGTGTCATGCCAGATTAATTGTAATGTGAGAGAATCGGGTGGTCGTGTCATGCCAGATTGATTGTAATGTGAGAGAATCGGGTGGTCCTGTCATGTCAGATTAATTGTAATGTGAAAGAATCGGGTGGTCGTGTCATGCCAGATTGATTGTAATGTGAGAGAATCGGGTGGTCGTGTCATGCCAGATTAATTGTAATGTGAGAGAATCGGATGGTCCTGTCATGGCAGATTAATTGTAATGTGAAAGAATCGGGTGGTCGTGTCATGCCAGATTGATTGTAATGTGAGAGAATCGGGTGGTCGTGTCATGCCAGATTAATTGTAATGTCAGAGAATCGGGTGGTCGTGTCATGCCAGATTAATTGTAATGTGAGAGAATCGGGTGGTCGTGTCATGTCAGATTAGTTGTAATGTGAAAGAATCGGGTGGTCGTGTCATGCCAGATTGATTGTAATGTGAGAGAATCGGGTGGTCGTGTCATGCCAGATTAATTGTAATGTCAGAGAATCGGGTGGTCCTGTCATGCCAGATTATTTGTAATGTGAGAGAATCGGGTGGTCGTGTCATGTCAGATTAGTTGTAATGTGAAAGAATCGGGTGGTCGTGTCATGCCAGATTGATTGTAATGTGAGAGAATTGGGTGGTCGTGTCATGCCAGATTAATTGTAATGTGAGAGAATCGGGTGGTCGTGTCATGCCAGATTAATTGTAATGTGAGAGAATCGGGTGGTCCTGTCATGCCAGATTAGTTGTAATGTGAGAGAATCGGATGGTCCTGTCATGTCAGATTAATTGTAATGTGAGAGAACCGGATGGTCGTGTCATGTCAGATTAATTGTAATGTGAAAGAATTGGGTGGTCCTGTCATGTCAGATTAATTGTAATGTGAAAGAATTGGGTGGTCCTGTCATGTCAGATTAATTATAATGTGAAAGAATCGGGTGGTCGTGTCATGCCAGATTAATTGTAATGTGAAAGAATTGGGTGGTCGTGTCATGTCAGATTAATTGTTATGTGAAAGAATTGGGTGGTCGTGTCATGTCAGATTTATTATAATGTGAAAGGATTGTGTGGTCCTGTCATGCCAGATTAATTGTAATGTGAGAGAATCGGGTGGTCCTGTCATGTCAGATTTATTATAATGTGAAAGGATTGTGTGGTCCTGTCATGCCAGATTAATTGTAATGTGAAAGAATTGGGTGGTCCTGTCATGTCAGATTAATTGTAATGTGAAAGAATTGGGTGGTCCTGTCATGTCAGATTAATTATAATGTGAAAGGATTGGGTGGTCCTGTCATGCCAGATTACTTGTAATGTGAAAGAATTGGGTGGTCGTGTCATGCTAAATTAATTGTAATGTGAAAGAATTGGGTGGTCCTTAACTTATATTGAGTGGTATATATCCTTTATCATGGTCAAGGCGACATTAGATGATCAAAGATCACTGTGACTTCAGCCGAAAGTGTTATGAAACAAAACAGTTTCCCCTTTCATCATAATTGCAGCATTTTCTTCCTTTTCTTCCAGTGTGTCCAGGACGTGGAGACGTATGCTGCCATCCTGTTTCAGCTGTTAGCAAATGAGCTGGTAAGGATGTCACCTTGTGTATGCATCATAATTAGGGTCAGACATGGTTCTTCATGTACTGATTGGTAAAATAATAACATTTCATAATTTTTGTTTGATCTTCAAAAAGCCATGGTCATATGGTTCTATGTGTGCTTGTTAACCCAGTCTTCTAGTTGCAAAATTGTTTTGGGTGAATACATAAATTTCCATAATTATAAAATAGTAATAAAAATAAATCCTTTTTAGATTACTTTTTTCCCAAGTTTCAGTTACTTAAGGGTCATTTGAGCTGTAACGTATTGCCAAGAAATAGTTTCTTTTGTAGATACATCAGAAAGATTGTTAGTTATTCAAAGGAATATAAATTAACATGAGCAGTATCAACTGAATATGTCTAAAAATCCATAGTTACTGCTGTATAGGTTTCATTTGTTTGTTGTTTAATGCTCACTGGGCAATATTCCAGCTGCATGACGGCTGTCTGTAAAGGTATTTAAGTGAGATAAGGAAAATATTATTCCTTGTCTTGTCTTGTCTGCCTTCACATATCTTGCTTGCCAGTGCCTTGACTTAAGAACCTCCTGATATTGATTAGGTACTTTTATATGTTTTGTTTGTTTGTTTAACGCCGCACTCAGCAATATTTCAGCTATATGATGGCGGCCTGTAAATAATCGAGTCTGAACCAGACAATCCAGTAATTGATATCATGAGCATCGATCCACGCAATTGGTATACGATGACATGAATCAACCAAGTCAGCAAGCCTGACCACCCGATCCCGTTAGTCGCCTCTTACGACAAGCATAGTCCCTTTTGACAGCAAGCATGGGTTGCTGAAGATCTATTCTATCCCTGATCTTCACGGGTCACTTTTACATGTACTTGTGTTAGAGTATCAAATTAAGGTTACAGTTTCATTTGATGTCTATAAGATAAGAGATGGAGTTGTCACACACATGAAATGAGTGATTCACGTTCAACAGTAATATGAGGGAATATACACTAATATGGGAAGATCAAATGCAGATCATAGACACAAGCTGTTGACGCAGGTGTGGTGCTGACACCAGTAAGACCAATCTTGATTTCTAGCAGGTGGATTCTTGAAGATCCAAGGGACATAACTCTTCAAATCAAATTTTTGAAAGTTTGGCAATAAAGTATTTTTATTTTGTTCATTAATTATTTGCTTATAATGTGTGTGTGTGTATATGTCTTTATAAACACTTCCCTTAGGGCAGTCTTTGCTTTTTTGTATCAGGGGCTTCGGAAAAGAAAATTGATAATGAAAACGAAAAAATGTACAAAATTAAAGAAGTATGTTGTATCCATGTTATGATGTGCATAGACTGAAGACACACTTATTTATTTATGGTAGGACCCCACAGTTGTGTGTGAGTATCTGAAGCTGTGTACACAAGCCAAGATTGTGCCCATGACCCGTATTGGATTGACTTCCCACCAAACAAAGGTCAAGGTCATGGAAACCCATAAAAACATCAAGGTCAGCGTTGAATGCACTATTTGTGAATTTGCGTTGACTGAAGTGGATCAAATTCTTGGGAACAATAGGAGTCAGGTAAAGAAATATTTCCTTAGGTTAAAAAAATAAGCCTTGGTTCTCAGGCACCGCCCGCATCATTAAGTTTGCCGCATGTTTCGTTTTTATTTCCATTTTTAAAAATATATGAAAAATCGTTAAATATCCTCCAAAGTCCAAAGGTAGTCAAATACTGTATTTCAGTACTTTACTCATCAAAGAATACATTTATGTAGGCCTTTCCCAGGTTGATTGTATACAACTGTTTATTTTTTTGCATAACTATTTTATTTGGTTACATACTAGTTTGAACAACCACAAAAAAACAGAAAAAAAGACACCACCCAACCGCACTATATTTTCAAAAGCCATTGCCTGAAAACCAATTCTTTTATTTTTTTAAGCCCAATGTTGCTTGTTCTTATAGATTTACCTTCCTGAAGGACCTTGTTATTCTTTCAAAGATGTCTTGTGTTGAATGATTGAATATAGATGTCATGCATGCATAACTCTATGTGAATCATGCACAAAAGTGCTGTAAATGTATTGTTACTTGCCATGCACAGTCAAGTCCTGTTAATCCGACATGGTAGGTCGCATATGATTATGTCGGATTAACGAGTATGTCGGATAAACGAAATTAAGTTGTATCAGCCTTGATGATTGAAAATCGGACAACTTCACGATGGATAACGATACAAACACGTAATAAAAAAATGAAAAATGAAATATTCATATTGTTATGTTACATTGTTTGCGGAATATGTTTTCTAATCATGCAAACTCTAAAGCGTAACAAAACTACGGTTACGGGCTGTATTTTAAAAAGCATAGTCTGGATTGGAAGTCGCCATTTTGAAACTAGTGCTGCAAAGCTCAAGAAAGTTGCTTTCTAAGTGGCTAATGTCGACTGTTAGTCATTTCATTGTTCGATCAAAGTTTGCGAAAGGTTGTCTAACGTGACCTGTAAGGGAATGTCTTCAGCGGTAGCGAGAACATGTATCTGATTTTAATAATATTGATGTAATCTAAGCATGTGATTAATTTCTTAAAGCATTATTTGTTTATTGTTAAGCAAGTTTATTGTCTCACTTCTCGTCTCACTTCAAAACATGGGGCTGTGTACTCGTTGGCACATGGCCACAGAGCATGCTGATCACTGTGTTTGATTAACGAGACTGATTAATAAGTGATTCGTTGCAAGTTAGATCTGTCAGAGTGCGAGACTGTCGGATTAACGGGCCTAAATAGCACTGATTTAATCGGTTCCCATCGTTAGTGTCTGATAAAGGCGCATGTTGGATTAACAGGTGTCGGATTAATGAGACTTGACTGTATATCTGTTGTGAGCTGATGCAACATTGGACCCACTTGGCAGGGGTGTGGAAAATCAATGGCAGATTTGTCTGATTCGTACTTGAGATTGCTGGACAACAAAGAAAGTCAGCTTCAGTTGTCTGTGCTGACTTTGCAGACCTTAAGGTCAATTTCCAAAAAATATTCAGAACAAGTACTAAATATGGCTTTGTAAAGTGTAAAGTACTGCCAATATGACCTATCCAACGGATGGCATTGCTATTTTTATTTCCGTACTTCTTATTTCTGATTTTGATCAGGTCTAACACACTCTCTCTGAATGGTTATTCCAAGCATGACATAGCCAAATGTGCAACATATTGTAAAAAGTCATCACAGATTGTACTGGCTGGCCGCTGCACAAAGCATATGGCTTTCATTTGATTACATGTACCAAAGAAGACTTTGAATACCCACTGAGAATCTGTGAATGAATACTCACTGGCTGTAAACATTATTGATTGTTGCACATTGGTACCTCAGACTGGTTAATATGTGGATACAAACTTCCCCTCGAATACGAAACTACCCTCTTTGATTTGGGAATGACTTTACGGCAGCCATCTTGGTTTGCTCAAGGCTTGCAGTTGAGTGGCAACCTGTGAGAGTGCAGGAGGTGTATTGTGTTGGCTGATGAGTACTGAATACAAGTGTATATGGAGAACCTGTATCTGTCTGTTTTAACAAGGCGGCAGTGGAGGCGGCCCTGGACAAGGTGTGTGACTTGTTGCCATCCACCATCAGTCAAGAATGTGTCAACTTCGTCAACACGTATGGTGCCGCCGTCATCAAACTGCTCATCCAGAACTTGAAGCCGGATGAAATCTGCAAGTCAATTGGCTTGTGTGCTCAGGGTAGGAAAACATCATGTTCCATATAGATGAGTTCAGATTCTATTAGATCTATAAGCTATTGTTATCCCCCGACATACAATGTGGTGGGGTGATATAGTCAATGCTTCGTCTGTCTGTCCTTCTATCCATCCGTAGTCATTTCGTTTTTGGAGCTCCCAAACTCTTTTATATTTTTCAACAAAAATTGGAAATGATATCAAACAGGTCCTGAAGTGCCTTTTACTATTTACAGATTTTTAGTATTGAACCCAACTAAAAAAACGTTGAATATCTTTCAACAAAACTTGGCAGATATATCAAACAGGTCCTGAAGTGGTGCCTTTTGCTATTTGGGGAGTTTTAGCATGTCTATTTTTCTTGATTTCCATGGAAACATTTTGGACTTGGTCTCTAAAGGTTGGGGGTAGGTGTCATTTCTGTAGCACAACTTTACAACTGTGAGAGAATTTTCATCCAAACTTGGTACATGTATTAACCAAGGCCTGAAGTGATGCCTTTTGCTATTTAGGAATTTTAACAAAAAATATTTTTTCCTGTTTCCATGGCAACAAGTTTGACTCTGTTCAAAGTGATGTGTTTGTCTGGACCATATATCTAAACCTAATAGGTGTTTTTTCTTGAAACTGTGCACACACAAAAACCAGGTTATCAAATGGTGCCCTTTGCTATTTAGGAATTTTTAGATTTTATGTATTTCACTTTCAATGGCAACAAGTTTGATTTTGATTGACATAGAAATACAAAGTTCTGAATCCCAATTCCATAGTATTGTCTTTATAGCTCAAAAACTACTCTTGTATATGGACAGACAGATTAGAAATTCTCTCATCAAGTTGGACTTTAGATGATTCGCTCTTTCAAACTTGTTGGGGCCGGGGGATTTGTCATCTTCTGATGACTCTTGTTACCTCATTTGAAGTGATATGAATTGGGTATTTGGTGGCCACAATGGCTGCAACACATGTCAAGCATGGATTGTGAAGTCTGGCTTTATGGATTCTGTCACTATGATTCAGACAAAATTAATTTCAATTAATAAAGTAGTTTCAGGACGCTAGTTTCTTCGCCATGTTTTCATTACATTAATAATATTGCAATTTGAATTTTATCATTTTCATGAAAACGTTGACGTCGAGTCTCTCTCCGAAACTTAATATTGAACATTTGCGTATATATCTTCATGCACAGATCCAGAGAGAACAGAGGATTCATGGGTGTGCTCCCATGTATTTAAGCATGCTTAACACATCCATTTGGAAATTTGATAGTGATCTGGTATGGTTGAATTTAGTGTATAATCATGTGGTGATATATTTTCAACTGAACGCGACTGATCTTTCTTTCACAGGAGTGAAGTCTGTCAAGCCTAAAGTTGGTGCTGATGTAGGCTGTATCATCTGTGAGTTTGTCATGACCACCGTGGATTCTCTCATCACAGCAAACAGTTCACAAGTAGGTTGTATGTCTGTACCTACAGATCAGTCTCTTAAAATCAGATCTTTTACACCAATAGGATACCTATCTGTGTGAAGTAGAAGGTGGCATCAGGTGAACTTTCCAATCAGAAGATCCTCATCAAGGCTTCGTAATTCCTTGTATCAGTGAGCAAAGCTTTCAGAGAATGATCTGTATCTCATAAACAAATATATTGGGGCAATATGAAGGCAAATTAATAATGCTGTACTGATATATAGTTGTGGATGTTTTATACATCACGTCATTTCCAAACGCTGCTGTGATATTGCTGGAATATTGCTAAAAGAAGCGTAAAACCATACTCACTCATTTCTGAATGCCAGTCATCTACATCCCAAATGGTATGCTATCAAGGGAATATTTGTATTTTGTGAGTTTTTTTTATTTAGAAAATAGAGAAATGAATATTTGACACTTTTTAATGGATAGCTACTTCTTGCTCCTTCATCAGGTGAATGCTGAGTAAGTGCATAGAGTAGTATATCTATGTCATGATGTATGCACAACACAAGGTGGGATGAATGTACAAAGATAACAATATAATGACGAAACCAAAGACATAGACATAGGATTAAGGTACAACGATAACAATATAATGACGAAACCAAAGACAAAGACATAGGATTAAGGTACAACGATAACAATATAATGACGAAACCAAAGACATAGGATTAAGGTACAAAGATAACAATATAATGACAAAACCAAAGACATAGACATAGGATTTAGGTACAAAGATAACAATATAATGACAAAACCAAAGACATAGACATAGGATTTAGGTACAAAGATAACAATATAATGACGAAACCAAAGACATAGGATGAAGGTACAAAGATAACAATATAATGACGAAACCAAAGACATAGACATAGGATTAAGGTACAACGATAACAATATAATGACGAAACCAAAGACATAGACATAGGATTAAGGTACAAAGATAACAATATAATGACGAAACCAAAGACATAGACATAGGATTAAGGTACAAAGATAACAATATAATGACGAAAACAAAGACATAGACATAGGATTAAGGTACAAAGATAACAATATAATGACGAAACCAAAGACATAGACATAGGACTAAGGTACAAAGATAACAATATAATGACGAAACCAAAGACATAGGATTAAGGTACAAAGATAACAATATAATGACGAAACCAAAGACATAGACATAGGATTAAGGTACAAAGGTAACAACATAATGACAAAACCAAAGACATAGGATTAAGGTACAAAGGTAACAACATAATGGCGAAACCAAAGACATAGACATAGGATTAAGGTACAACGATAACAATATAATGACAAAACCAATGACATAGACATAGGATTAAGGTACAACGATAACAATATAATGACGAAACCAAAGACATAGACATAGGATTAAGGTACAAAGATAACAATATAATGACAAAACCAATGACATAGACATAGGATTAAGGTACAAAGATAACAATATAATGACGAACCAAAGACATAGACATAGGATTAAGGTACAACGATAACAATATAAGACGAAACCAAAGACATAGACATAGGATTAAGGTACAACGATAACAATATAATGACAAAACCAAAGACATAGACATAGGATTAAGGTACAGCGATAACAATATAATGACGAAACCAAAGACATAGACATAGGATTAAGGTACAAAGATAACAATGTGATGACGAAACCAAAGACATAGGATTAAGGTACAAAGATATCAATATAATGACGAACCAAAGACATAGACATAGGATGAAGGTACAAAGATAACAATATAATGACGAACCAAAGACATAGACATAGGATGAAGGTACAAAGATAACAATATAATGACGAAACCAATGACATAGACATAGGATTAAGGTACAATGATAACAATATAATGACAAAACCAAAGACATAGACATAGGATTAAGGTACAACGATAACAATATAATGACGAAACCAAAGACATAGACATAGGATTAAGGTACAACGATAACAATATAATGACGAAACCATAGACATAGGATTAAGGTACAAAGATAACAATATAATGACAAAACCAAAGACATAGACATAGGATTAAGGTACAAAGATAACAATATAATGACGTAACCAATGACATAGACATAGGATTAAGGTACAAAGATAACAATATAATGACGAAACCAATGACATAGACATAGGATTAAGGTACAAAGATAACAATATAATGACGAAACCAATGACATAGACATAGGATTAAGGTACAAAGATAGCAATATAATGACAAAACCAAAGACATAGACATAGGATTAAGGTACAACGATAACAATATAATGACAGAAGAGGGGATAGGATTTAGATAACATTATGATGAATCCAACGAGATTAACAGGAGAGGATTATTTAAGTACACTGGAGGTGTAGTAGTGACACAGAGCTGGCTTGTGACACAAGCAATAAGGCAATCAAGATGTCCATTTATGGTAGATGATGTGGTAAAGGCACAGTGGAGTACACACTGGGTAGGTAGATACCCTGGTCTCTGTTAACGGCAAGGAAATATGGTGGACAGGATTATTCTCAGTAGTGTAACAATCTAATGCAGGTCTTTGGAAGGCAAATAGAAGTGATACACATAAAGAAGAGAATATATAAATGTCCTGTCTTTGTAACTGAGCACCTTATGACCTTATCATGTGTTTCCCTGCCCATCACTATACTTTGTGACCCGTAAAGATCCGGGTAGGAATAGGTCTTCAGCAACCCATGATTGCCGTAAAAGGCGACAACGCTTATCGTAAGAGGCGACTAACGGGATTGGGTAGTCAGCTTCGCTGACTTGGTTGATACATGTCATCAATCTCAATTTAGTGTATCAATGCTCATGATGTCAATCACTGGATTGTCTGGTCTAGTCTTGATTATTTACAGACCCGTCATATAGCTGGAATATTGCTGAGTGCGGCGTTAAACAACAAACCAACCAACTAGTTACACTTTGTGGTACCTAAAAAACCCATAAAACCAATTAGAATAAGGCAATTAGAAGTGATGCACTAAGGGAAAAGAATTTATTGATGTACATGCACGTCGCTATATAAGTGCAATAATCTCGACGTTAAAACCCAATTTCACCTCACCTTATTATGAGGAACACAACGTTTCGGACTATATGCTTACTCCTTCATCAACTGATGGAGTGGGCATGTACTCTGAAACGTTGTGTTCCTCATAATAATGAAGCTGACATCCATATATTCTCTTCCTTAATCTATTGCAGTTCAATAACAATAGTAGAACCCATCTCTGCTCCGAAGTCTTTAGTATTGACTTCCTGTTACAGGCCGAGGTTGAAGCAGCGCTGGAGAAGGTGTGCACTCTGCTCCCAGCAACCATCAGCGCCGAGTGTAGCCAGTTTGTCCAGGAGTATGGTCCAGCTGTCATCAACTTACTGGTCAATAAACTTGACCCCAAAAGTGTCTGCAAGACCCTGCGTCTGTGTACAAGCAGCAAGGTCGCTGAAGGTCAGTATACCAGCCTGGCGTTGTTCAGGACGCAGTTGTCTACATGGCGCCATGTGTCTGGGAATCTGTAGGTGTTTGAGGTCTTCTTTTGCTTGGAACTGTATTGGGAGGATCCCCATCATCTCTGGTGCCACAATTCGTTGTGCAGAGTTGCAGAAACTCATGCCAGAGACATCATGCCAGAGTGTGGGTTTGAATCCCAGTTTGCCCCGATTATGTTTCTAGGTTTGTCAGATTCATACCCATGCTTGTGGGTTTCACCAATGTGGTAAATGTCTAAGGCCTGCATCAAGTAAGACGGACATGCTGTGATATAGCGGAAATACTGTTCAAGGCTTCATTGAGGCCCAACTTCATCAATCCCTCATTCACTATTCATGATTCCCCAAATCTAATTTCCCCCCTAATCTCAGAAATATGTGCATCATTGCAGTCTCAAAGAGCCCATCGATGAAACCAAAGACCAAGGCATCAGCAGGCCATGAATGTGTCATTTGTGAGTTCATTATGCGTGAACTGGACATTATCCTAGGGAACAACAGGACTCAGGTAAGTCCCTTACGCATCAATATTGACTGTATCCAGTATGTTATCTCACCTTGTAAGTGGTCTGAATTGTGTCCGTTACCTTAGATATAGGGATATCATCGTTCATCACGGTATCAATGTATTAGTACTTTTGTAATGTTGGTACTGTATCAATACAAACGTGTGTCTGTATCAGTACAAACAAAATGAATACTAATAATAAATAATTCACTGCCACAGAATCATTTATATATACTGTGTCCCCCCCCACCCCACCCCTTCCCCTCTGATGTGAGTATTGTGTCCCCCCTCTGATGTGATTATTGTCCCCCCTCTGATGTGAGTATTGTGTCCCCCCTCTGATGTGATTATTGTCCCCCCTCTGATGTGAGTATTGTGTCCCCTCTGATGTGAGTATTATGTCCCCTCTTATGTGAGTATTGTGTCCCCTCTGATGTGAGTATTGTGTCCCCCCTCTGATGTGAGAATTGTGTCCCCCCTCTGATGTGAGTATTCTGCCCCCCTCTGATGTGAGTATTGTGTCCCCCTCTGATGTGAGTATTGTGTCCCCTCTGATGTGAGTATTGTGTCCCCCCTCCAATGTGAATATTGTGTCCCAGCTGATGTGAGTATTGTGCCCCCTTCTGATGTGAGTATTGTGTCCCCCTCTGATGTGAGTATTGTGTCCCCTCTGATGTGAGTATTGTGTCCCCTCTGATGTGAGTATTGTGTCCCCTCTGATGTGAGTATTGTCACCCATCTGATGTGAGTATTGTGTCCCCCTCTGATGTGAGTATTGTGTCCCCTTCTGATGTGAGAATTGTGTCTCCCCTCTGATGTGAGTATTGTGCCCCCCTCTGATGTGAGTATTGTGTCCCCCTCTGATGTGAGTATTGTGTCCCCTCTGATGTGAGTATTGTGTCTCCTCTGATGTGAGTATTGTGTCCCCCCTCTGATGTGAGTATTGTGTCCCCTCTGATGTGAGTATTGTGTCCCCTCTGATGTGAGTATTGTGTCCCCCCTCTGATGTGAGAATTGTGTCTCCCCTCTGATGTGAGTATTGTGCCCCCCTCTGATGTGAGTATTGTGTCCCCCTCTGATGTGAGTATTGTGTCCCCTCTGATGTGAGTATTGTGTCCCCCTCTGATGTGAGTATTGTGTCCTCCTCTGATGTGAGTATTGTGTCCCCCCTCTGATGTGAGTATTGTGTCCCCCTCTGATGTGAGTATTGTGTCCCCCTCTGATGTGAGTATTGTGTCCCCCCTCTGATGTGAGTATTGTGTCCCCTCTGATGTGAGTATTGTGCCCCCTCTGATGTGAGTATTGTGTCCCCCCTCTGATGTGAGAATTGTGTCCCCCCTCTGATGTGAGTATTGTGCCCCCCTCTGATGTGAGTATTGTGTCCCCCCTCTGATGTGAGTATTGTGTTCCCCCCTCTCTGATGTGAGTATTGTGTCACCCCTCTGATGTGAGTATTGTGTCCCCCCTCTGATGTGAGTATTGTGTCTCCTCTGATGTGAGTATTGTGTCCCCCCCTCTGATGTGAGTATTGTGTCCCCTCTGATGTGAGTATTGTGTCCCCTCTGATGTGAGTATTGTGTCCCCTCTGATGTGAGTATTGTGTCTCCTCTGATGTGAGTATTGTGCCCCCCTCTGATGTGAGTATTGTGCCCCCCTCTGATGTGAGTATTGTGTCCCCCTCTGATGTGAGTATTGTGTCCCCCTCTGATGTGAGTATTGTGCCCCCCTGTGATGTGAGTATTGTGTTCCCCCCTCTCTGATGTGAGTATTGTGTCCCCCCTCTGATGTGAGTATTGTGTCCCCTCTGATGTGAGTATTGTGTCCCCCTCTGATGTGAGTATTGTGTCCCCCCTCTGATGTGAGTATTGTGTTCCCCCCCCTCTGATGTGAGTATTGTGTCCCCCCTCTGATGTGAGTATTGTGTCCCCTCTGATGTGAGTATTGTGCCCCCCTCTGATGTGAGTATTGTGCCCCCCTCTGATGTGAGTATTGTGTCCCCCTCTGATGTGAGTATTGTGTCTCCTCTGATGTGAGTATTGTGCCCCCCTCTGATGTGAGTATTGTGTCCCCCCTCTCTGATGTGAGTATTGTGTCACCCCTCTGATGTGAGTATTGTGCCCCCCCCCTCTGATGTGAGTATTGTGCCCCCCTCTGATGTGAGTATTGTGTCCCCCCTCTGATGTGAGTATTGTGTCACCCCTCTGATGTGAGTATTGTGCCCCCCCCCTCTGATGTGAGTATTGTGTCCCCCCCCCTCTGATGTGAGTATTGTGTCTCCTCTGATGTGAGTATTGTGTCTCCTCTGATGTGAGTATTGTGTCCCCTCTGATGTGAGTATTGTGCCCCCCCCCTCTGATGTGAGTATTGTGCCCCCCCCCTCTGATGTGAGTATTGTGCCCCCCTCTGATGTGAGTATTGTGTCCCCCTCTGATGTGAGTATTGTGTCTCCTCTGATGTGAGTATTGTGCCCCCCTCTGATGTGAGTATTGTGTCCCCCCTCTCTGATGTGAGTATTGTGTCACCCCTCTGATGTGAGTATTGTGCCCCCCCCCTCTGATGTGAGTATTGTGCCCCCCTCTGATGTGAGTATTGTGTCCCCCTCTGATGTGAGTATTGTGTCCCCTCTGATGTGAGTATTGTGTCCCCCTCTGATGTGAGTATTGTGTCCCCTCTGATGTGAGTATTGTGCCCCCCCCCTCTGATGTGAGTATTGTGTCCCCCCTCTCTGATGTGAGTATTGTGTCCCCTCTGATGTGAGTATTGTGTCCCCCCTCTCTGATGTGAGTATTGTGTCCCCTCTGATGTGAGTATTGTGTCCCCTCTGATGTGAGTATTGTGTCCCCTCTGATGTGAGTATTGTGTCTCCTCTGATGTGAGTATTGTGCCCCCCTCTGATGTGAGTATTGTGTCCCCCTCTGATGTGAGTATTGTGCCCCCCTCTGATGTGAGTATTGTGTCCCCCTCTGATGTGAGTATTGTGTTCCCCCCTCTCTGATGTGAGTATTGTGTCCCCCTCTGATGTGAGTATTGTGTCCCCTCTGATGTGAGTATTGTGTCCCCTCTGATGTGAGTATTGTGTCCCCCTCTGATGTGAGTATTGTGCCCCCCTCTGATGTGAGTATTGTGTTCCCCCCTCTCTGATGTGAGTATTGTGTCCCCCTCTGATGTGAGTATTGTGTCCCCTCTGATGTGAGTATTGTGTCCCCCCTCTGATTTGAGTATTGTGCCCCCCTCTGATGTGAGTATTGTGTCCCCTCTGATGTGAGTATTGTGCCCCCCTCTGATGTGAGTATTGTGTCTCCTCTGATGTGAGTATTGTGCCCCCCTCTGATGTGAGTATTGTGTCCCCCCTCTGATGTGAGTATTGTGTCCCCCCTCTGATGTGAGAATTGTGTCCCCCCTCTGATGTGAGTATTGTGTCCCCCTCTGATGTGAGTATTGTGTCCCCTCTGATGTGAGTATTGTGTCCCCTCTGATGTGAGTATTGTGTCCTCCTCTGATGTGAGTATTGTGTCCCCCCTCTGATGTGAGTATTGTGTCCCCCTCTGATGTGAGTATTGTGCCCCCCTCTGATGTGAGTATTGTGTCTCCTCTGATGTGAGTATTGTGCCCCCCTCTGATGTGAGTATTGTGTCCCCTCTGATGTGAGTATTGTGCCCCCCTCTGATGTGAGTATTGTGTCCCCTCTGATGTGAGAATTGTGTCCCCCCTCTGATGTGAGTATTGTGTCCCCTCTGATGTGAGTATTGTGCCCCCCTCTGATGTGAGTATTGTGCCCCCTCTGATGTGAGTATTGTGTCCCCCCTCTGATGTGAGTATTGTGTCCCCCTCTGATGTGAGTATTGTGCCCCCCTCTGATGTGAGTATTGTGTCTCCTCTGATGTGAGTATTGTGCCCCCCTCTGATGTGAGTATTGTGTCCCCTCTGATGTGAGTATTGTGCCCCCCTCTGATGTGAGTATTGTGTCCCCTCTGATGTGAGTATTGTGTCCCCTCTGATGTGAGTATTGTGTCCTCCTCTGATGTGAGTATTGTGTCCCCCCTCTGATGTGAGTATTGTGTCCCCCTCTGATGTGAGTATTGTGCCCCCCTCTGATGTGAGTATTGTGTCTCCTCTGATGTGAGTATTGTGCCCCCCTCTGATGTGAGTATTGTGTCCCCTCTGATGTGAGTATTGTGCCCCCCTCTGATGTGAGTATTGTGTCCCCTCTGATGTGAGAATTGTGTCCCCCCTCTGATGTGAGTATTGTGTCCCCCCTCTGATGTGAGTATTGTGTCCCCTCTGATGTGAGTATTGTGCCCCCCTCTGATGTGAGTATTGTGTCCCCTCTGATGTGAGTATTGTGTCCCCCTCTGATGTGAGTATTGTGTCCCCCCTCTGATGTGAGTATTGTGTCCCCCCTCTGATGTGAGTATTGTGTCCCCTCTGATGTGAGTATTGTGTCCCCCCTCTGATGTGAGTATTGTGTCCCCTCTGATGTGAGTATTGTGTCCCCTCTGATGTGAGTATTGTGTCCCCTCTGATGTGAGTATTGTGTCTCCTCTGATGTGAGTATTGTGCCCCCCTCTGATGTGAGTATTGTGTCCCCCTCTGATGTGAGTATTGTGCCCCCCTCTGATGTGAGTATTGTGTCCCCCTCTGATGTGAGTATTGTGTTCCCCCCTCTCTGATGTGAGTATTGTGTCCCCCTCTGATGTGAGTATTGTGTCCCCTCTGATGTGAGTATTGTGTCCCCTCTGATGTGAGTATTGTGTCCCCCTCTGATGTGAGTATTGTGCCCCCCTCTGATGTGAGTATTGTGTTCCCCCCTCTCTGATGTGAGTATTGTGTCCCCCTCTGATGTGAGTATTGTGTCCCCTCTGATGTGAGTATTGTGTCCCCCCTCTGATTTGAGTATTGTGCCCCCCTCTGATGTGAGTATTGTGTCCCCTCTGATGTGAGTATTGTGCCCCCCTCTGATGTGAGTATTGTGTCCCCCCTCTGATGTGAGTATTGTGTCCCCCCTCTGATGTGAGAATTGTGTCCCCCCTCTGATGTGAGTATTGTGTCCCCCTCTGATGTGAGTATTGTGTCCCCTCTGATGTGAGTATTGTGTCCCCTCTGATGTGAGTATTGTGTCCTCCTCTGATGTGAGTATTGTGTCCCCCCTCTGATGTGAGTATTGTGTCCCCCTCTGATGTGAGTATTGTGCCCCCCTCTGATGTGAGTATTGTGTCTCCTCTGATGTGAGTATTGTGCCCCCCTCTGATGTGAGTATTGTGTCCCCTCTGATGTGAGTATTGTGCCCCCCTCTGATGTGAGTATTGTGTCCCCTCTGATGTGAGAATTGTGTCCCCCCTCTGATGTGAGTATTGTGTCCCCTCTGATGTGAGTATTGTGCCCCCCTCTGATGTGAGTATTGTGCCCCCTCTGATGTGAGTATTGTGTCCCCCCTCTGATGTGAGTATTGTGTCCCCCTCTGATGTGAGTATTGTGCCCCCCTCTGATGTGAGTATTGTGTCTCCTCTGATGTGAGTATTGTGCCCCCCTCTGATGTGAGTATTGTGTCCCCTCTGATGTGAGTATTGTGCCCCCCTCTGATGTGAGTATTGTGTCCCCTCTGATGTGAGTATTGTGTCCCCTCTGATGTGAGTATTGTGTCCTCCTCTGATGTGAGTATTGTGTCCCCCCTCTGATGTGAGTATTGTGTCCCCCTCTGATGTGAGTATTGTGCCCCCCTCTGATGTGAGTATTGTGTCTCCTCTGATGTGAGTATTGTGCCCCCCTCTGATGTGAGTATTGTGTCCCCTCTGATGTGAGTATTGTGCCCCCCTCTGATGTGAGTATTGTGTCCCCTCTGATGTGAGAATTGTGTCCCCCCTCTGATGTGAGTATTGTGTCCCCCCTCTGATGTGAGTATTGTGTCCCCTCTGATGTGAGTATTGTGCCCCCCTCTGATGTGAGTATTGTGTCCCCTCTGATGTGAGTATTGTGTCCCCCTCTGATGTGAGTATTGTGTCCCCCCTCTGATGTGAGTATTGTGTCCCCCCTCTGATGTGAGTATTGTGTCCCCTCTGATGTGAGTATTGTGTCCCCCCTCTGATGTGAGTATTGTGTCCCCTCTGATGTGAGTATTGTGTCCCCCTCTAGGCTGCTGTTGAGGCTGCCCTGGATAAGGTGTGTGACCTTCTGCCAAGTACCATCCAACAAGAGTGCACCGACATTGTCAACACATACGGCCCAGCCATCATTCAGCTCCTTGTCCAGGAACTTGATGCAGATGAAGTCTGCCAAGCCCTTCGTTTTTGCACACGGAACAGCAACAAAAAAGGTGGGTTGTGTTTTTATTAATGTTTACTGGGTATGTGTTCCCTTCTGAATCTTTTTTTCTATTGAAGGGCGAAAAAACAAAATGAAGTCCTCAGTTTGGTTTCAGTTAAAGTGAAAACACAGATGATGTAATTTGATGTGATATGGGCTGTGATATTGCTGTCTGATTTATTTATATGGGTTGTGATATTGTGGACGGGATTATTTATATGGGTTGTGATATTGCTGACAGAACTATTTATATGGGTTGTGATATTGCTGACAATTATTTATATGGGTTGTGATATTGCTGACTGGATTATTTATATGGGTTGTGATATTGCTGACAGAACTATTTATATGGGTTGTGATATCGCTGACTGGATTATTTATATGGGTTGTGATATTGCTGACTGGATTATTTATATGGGTTGTGATATTGCTGACAGAACTATTTATATGGGTTGTGATATCGCTGACTGGATTATTTATATGGGTTGTGATATTGCTGACAGAACTATTTATATGGGTTGTGATATTGCTGACAATTATTTATATGGGTTGTGATATTGCTGACAGAATTATTTATATGGGTTGTGATATTGCTGACTGGATTATTTATATGGGTTGTGATATTGCTGACAGAACTATTTATATGGGTTGTGATATTGCTGACTGGATTATTTATATGGGTTGTGATATTGCTGACTGGATTATTTATATGGGTTGTGATATTGCTGACTGGATTATTTATATGGATTGTGATATTGCTGACTGGATTATTTATATGGGTTGTGATATTGCTGACTGGATTATTTATATGGTTTGTGATATTACCGACGGAATTATTTATATGGGTTGTGATATTGCTGACGGAATTATTTATATGGGTTGTGATATTGCTGACTGGATTACTTATATGGGTTGTGATATTGCTGACTGGATTATTTATATGGGTTGTGATATTGCTGACTGGATTATTTATATGGGTTGTGATATTGCTGACTGGATTATTTATATGGGTTGTGATATTACCGACGGAATTATTTATATGGGTTGTGATATTGCTGATAGAATTATTTATATGGGTTGTGATATTGCTGACGGAATTATTTTTATGGATTGTGATATTGCTGACTGGATTCTTTATATGGGTTGTGATATCGCTGACAGAACTATTTATATGGGTTGTGATATTACCGACGGAATTATTTATATGGGTTGTGATATTGCTGACTGGATTCTTTATATGGGTTGTGATATTGCTGACAGAACTATTTATATGGGTTGTGATATTACCGACGGAATTATTTATATGGGTTGTGATATTGCTGACGGAATTATTTATATGGATTGTGATATTGCTGACTGGATTCTTTATATGGGTTGTGATATCGCTGACAGAACTATTTATATGGGTTGTGATATTACCGACGGAATTATTTATATGGGTTGTGATATTGCTGACTGGATTATTTATATGGGTTGTGATATTGCTGACTGGATTCTTTATATGGGTTGTGATATTGCTGACTGGATTCTTTATATGGGTTGTGATATTGCTGACTGGATTCTTTATATGGGTTGTGATATTGCTGACTGGATTCTTTATATGGGTTGTGATATTGCTGACTGGATTCTTTATATGGGTTGTGATATTGCTGACTGGATTCTTTATATGGGTTGTGATATTGCTGACTGGATTCTTTATATTGGTTGTGATATTGCTGACTGGATTCTTTATATTGGTTGTGATATTGCTGACTTGATTATTTATATGGGTTGTGATATTGCTGACGGAACTATTTATATGGGTAACCCGTGAAGTCCCTTAAGCAACCATGCTTCTTGTAAGAGGCGACTGACAGGATCGTGTGGTCAGGCTCGCTGACTTGGTTGATGGATGTCATGGTATCCCAATTGCGTGGATCGATGCTCATGATGTCAATCACTGGATTGTCTTGTCCAGACTCGATTATTTACAGATCGCCTTTATATAAATGGAATATTGCTGAGTGTGGCTTTAGACAACATAAAAAAATAAAATTATATGGGTTGCGATATTGCTGGAATGTTGCTGACTGGCATTCAACAGCATTAGCTACATCACTGTGACATGTGTACCTGTAATCCAGCCTTCAGTGTGATATCAACAATAATGGCATCTCTCTCCTCTAGCGCCCCTGAAGGTGAACAACGAGGTGTGTGACCTGTGTGTGACCGTGATGAACTACGCTGATGAACTGCTGAAGGAGAATGCCACAGTGCAGGATGTCGAGATGGTCTTGGACAAAGTCTGCAACTTTCTGTCTGCTCAGATGACAAACCAGGTGTGTTCTTGTGACATACTCAGATGCCAAACTGGATGTGTACTTTTGGATCAGTATTAACATGATGACTTTGGTTCAACAAGTACTTTTAGCCCCGTGAAGATCCGGGTAAAAAATAGGTCTTCAGCAACCCATGCTTGCCGTAAAAAGCGACCATGGTTGTCGTAAGAGGCGACTAACGGGATCGGGTGGTCAGGCTCGCTGACTTGGTTGATGCATGTCATCGTATCCCAATTGCGTGGATCGATGCTCGTGATGTCATTCACTGGATTGTCTTGCCAGACTCAATTATTTACAGTCTGCCATCATATAGCTGGAGTATTGCTGAGTGCGGCGTTAAACAACAAACAAACTATCAGCAAGTACTTTTCAGGTTTCAGACTGTTGTTTCCTGTTCGAAGGACGTGAGAAGTCTGACAGCTCTATATAGATTATTTAAAGTTCACATAGTCTTGATTTGGAGTCAGAACATGTACTCATGGGTATTGTGCTACTTAACTGTTTCTGTTTTGGTTTCAGTGTTTGGCTTTCGTTGACCAGTACGCACCACTTGTCCTTGACCTTCTTGCCAGTGACCTTGATCCCAAGCAAATCTGCCAGGTGAGACAGATGATAAGAAGCAAAGAAGTGTAGTGTCATGTTTATTGGTCTTTTTGTCATGTTTATGTGGTAGTTTGTTACGATTTTGTAAAAACGTAATTAATTGAACTTCATTCTGTCATTACTAAACAGTGATTTTATAGTATTTGATTGGCTGACCAATGTTGTGAGCTTGTATGTTTCTATAATCCAAAATAAACAGAATACACCCACTATCGGAATACTGTTTCCTGATTGACTGGACATAGAATTTGTAGGGCTGAAATTTTGTGGGGATGTTTGGTACTATAATTTCAATATTGAATTCAAAGTGCTTTTCCTCCCACTGTTAACATCATCTCCTCAGAAACCACTGAACCCATGAAGCACCACAGCAGCCATTTATGTCCATTACTCCGTCATTTTTGTTCATTATTTAATGACCCGTGAAGATCCGGGGTAGAAAAGGTCTTCAGCAACCCATGCTTGCCATAAAAGGTGACTATGCTTGTCGTAAGAGGCGACTAACGGGATCGGGTTGTCAGGCTTGCTGACATGGCCATCGTTTCCCAATTACGTAGATTGATGCTCATGATGTCAATCACTGGATTGTCTGATCCAGACTCGATTATTTACAATCTGCCATCATAGAGCTGGAATATTGCTGAGTGTGGAGTTAAACAACAACAACAATCATTATTTTATTTAAGTTGGTACCTGTGTAGTTGGTAATGGGCCTCAGCATTTTTGTTATGCTTTTGTCCCTGGTATTTATACAGAAAAAAATTGAATAGCAATGCTGACCACAACTGTTTTATGTGGCCGTCTATGTTGACATTGTAGGATGTTGACTACATATGCCAGTGAGGTACAGTGCCGTGGCACTATCTTAACTTTTGACACTGTTCCTAAGCCTTGTGTTGTGTCCGCCAGACCATCAGCCTGTGTCCAGCCAGTCGGGGCATCCACACCAAGCTCCACTTCCAGAGCAAGCTGCTGGGGAAGGAGAAGTGTTCCTTTGGACCAAGCTTCTGGTGTGCCAACAAAGACAATGCCATGAAGTGCAACGTGAGTACTTGGATATGCAAGGAAGTGTAACGTGAGTACTTGGATATGCAAGGAAGTGCAACGTGAGTACTTGGATATGCAAGGAAGTGTAACGTGAGTACTTGGATATGCAAGGAAGTGCAACATGAGTACTTGGATATGCAAGGAAGTGTAACGTGAGTACTTGGATATGCAAGGAAGTGCAACGTGAGTACTTGGATATGCAAGGAAGTGTAACGTGAGTACTTGGATATGCAAGGAAGTGCAACGTGAGTACTTGGATATGCAAGGAAGTGTAACGTGAGTACTTGGATATGCAAGGAAGTGCGATGTGAGTACTTGGATATGCAAGGAAGTGTAACGTGAGTACTTGGATATGCAAGGAAGTGCAACGTGAGTACTTGGATATGCAAGGAAGTGTAACTTGAGTACTTGGATACGTGAGTACTTGGATATGCAAGGAAATGTAATGTGAGTACTTGGATATGCAAGGTAGTGTAATGTGAGTACTTGGATATGCAAGGAAGTGTAACGTGAGTACTTGGATATGCAAGGAAGTGTAACGTGAGTACTTGGATATGCAAGGAAGTGTAACTTGAGTACTTGGATACGTGAGTACTTGGATATGCAAGGAAATGTAATGTGAGTACTTGGATATGCAAGGTAGTGTAATGTGAGTACTTGGATATGCAAGGAAGTGTAACGTAAGTACTTGGATATGCTAGGAAGTGTAACTTGAGCACTTGGATATGCAAGGAAGTGTAACGAGAGTACTTGGATATGCAAGGAAGTGTAACATGAGTACTTGGATATGCAAGGAAATGTAATGTGAGTACTTGGATATGCAAGGAAGTGTAACGTAAGTACTTGGATATGCTAGGAAGTGTAACTTGAGTACTTGGATATGCAAGGAAATGTAACGTAAGTACTTGGATATGCAAGGAAGTGTAATGTGAGTACTTGGATATGCAAGGAAGTGCGATGTGAGTACTTGGATATGGAAGGAAGTGCAACGTGAGTACTTGGATATGCAAGGAAGTGTAACGAGTACTTTGATATGCAAGGAATTGTAACTTGAGTACTTAGATATATTCACTCACTTACTTACCCACCATCCTCCCACCCCCCATCTCACCATCCTCCCACCCTCCATCTCACTCACTCACTCACTCACTCACTCACTCACTCACTCTTCTTTCCTTGTCTTCCAGGCCATGGAGCACTGCCAGAAACACGTGTGGAACTAGACACAAGCCAGGATCGGGAACACCAGGAAAATCCAAACCCAAGCTCACAAGAATTAACACACTTAAATACTCGGTTCATTTTGTCCTTAAGTATTGCTAGCCATAGGATGCTATTAACAGTTGTTCCCGAGGACCTGCTGACACTGGATAGACACGTACTGTTACTTTACATTAAGTTCTAGACCTTCCTTGTATCAGTCTCATCAATGTTTGGGTGAGATAAGTCGTTTAGTCTTCACACATTTAGGTGATCTCAGCCATTCTTTATTTAAATTATGCTTAAAAATATTTAGCAGTTTACACTAAATAGAATCTTGACATGAGTTTGGGTACATCTTTATTTCTGTTTTTGTCTTGATATAACTTCAGGTTTGTAGCGAAAAATTGTCATGCCGATTGGGTTATGAAGATTATATTTTTATGAGGTTTAAGTTAAATGGGGTTGTTGACAAGAGTGGAAAAAATTTATTTTCTGTTAAGGTTTGTATATAGTTGATAAATTGTTGTGTTATTCCATATTCAGTGATATAATATTTAACAAAATGAATTGATATGAAACTATACATGGATCTATATGATATCTTCTTTGGTGCATTAATTTGATATGATATTTTTAGATATGTACTTCCCGGTAATAAGAATTATTGAACTTAGAAATAACTTCAAGGAGTAGGATGTTATGTGAACATTATGCAAAAACATTTTTTTTTAAATTGAAGGTTGTACACAATACTAAGTTCGCAATTTGAAACTGTACATATTGCTGCTATAATTGAACTATTTTTGTATCCACAAGTATTGTTGTTAATTTATGTTACTTTAATGGTCTACAAACTTTGTGCCTTTACTGGCGTGGGAACATCAACCATAAAAGCAAGCATTGATCACATTTCGAAAGATTTCTTTAATTTTAAGAAAACAAAGGCAGGAAGTGAACATTTTTGGCTATGGTTAAAGAATATGAAGAAAACCATCCTGCTTCGTCTCATTTTCCAGAGATGAAATGACAGCATGTTAGTCATTTACATCGACAGGGAACACCGAGATCACTATCGTACAGATTTTATTTGCCACCCTCCAAGAGAAATATCATGTTTAAGTCTGTGTGAGTATACACTCTTATCTGTTGTACATAATCTTAAAATGAAATAAAGTGGATAGTTTGCCCATACTTTATTGACCTTATCCAAATATATACTACTCAAAACAAGTTCAAGAACACCCATGCCAGGACAGATTGACGATAGTCATGTGAAGAAATCAAGTGTTTCCTAACTTCTTTTGAGTGGTATTGTTCTTTAACTGAATATGCACTTAGATTGGTAACATTTTGAAAGATGAGAAGTGCATGTCTGTCATGATAGGCCTACCTAATATGCTTGGATTACAGGTCGGGGACCATGTGGACAAACCATCCTGTTATAGGAGGTCATTGGTGTGTTGTCATTGTATCGTGTATACATTATTTTGTCTTTCTTGGTACATTTATATAATTTTCCATTTAAGGTATTGAGATTGCATTTGGAGACCTGAACATTGCAGTTACATGTCCACATTAGGAGAGAGTATGATTTTGAAATAATTGTAATAAGGAGCAATTAATAAAATTAAGAATTGTTTCATATGTTGGAATATCTCATGTGTATCATAAGTACATTCTCCACATTTTATTATTAAGTTTATACCTGTGCATAAATGTTGGTGCAAAAAAGATAGCGACAGTTATTTATTACTTTTAGAGTTTTAGGTTTATGGATCACAACTTGTTTACTGTGAAGGAGCCATTGTTTCAGCTGAGTGTAATTCTTGGTACAGAATCAGCATGGAGAGTGTGTAACATTGTGACAGCTGATGGTGGAAGCAAGGCTGACGGTTCATTCAGTTTGCCTTGTTATTACTTGTGAAAGAGAAGTTGCAGTCATTTACAATGAACAAGTTTTCATAAACCTCCTGAATGTCATTGTAGATCCAAATAAATTATACTTAGATGTGAACATCAAAGTTTTGTAAGTCATGAGCAAAATGTTTTCCCATTCTTTTCAATAAAAAAACATTCTTTCATAAGTCTTTTGTTGTTTATTTTATGACTTGCCTGCCTTATTTCCCACAGCCTCCATCAGCTCAGTTATCTGGTTAGTTTCCTTGTCTCCATTATTCCCCCTCTTCTCCGTTGTCCCCCCTCGTCTCCGTTATCCCCCCATGTCTCCATTATCCCCCTTGTCTCCGTTATTGCCCCTCTTCTCCGTTATCCCCCATTGTCTCTTTTATTGCCCTTCGTCTCCGTTATCACCCTTGTCTCCGTTATTTCCCCTTATCTCCGTTATTTCCCCTTATCTCCGTTATCGCCCCTCGTCTCTGTTATCCCCCCTTGTCTCTGTTATCCCCCCTTGTCTCTGTTATCCCCCCTTGTCTCTGTTATCCCCTCTTGTCACCGTTATTGCCCCTCATCTCCGTTGTCCCCCCTTGTCTCCTTTATTCCCCCTTGTCTCTGTTATCCCCTCTTGTCACCGTTATTGCCCCTCATCTCCGTTGTCCCCCCTTGTCTCCTTTATTCCCCCTTATCTCCGTTATTTCCCCTTATCTCCGTTATCGCCCCTCGTCTCTGTTATCCCCCCTTGTCTCTGTTATCCCCCCTTGTCTCTGTTATCCCCTCTTGTCACCGTTATTGCCCCTCATCTCCGTTGTCCCCCCTTGTCTCCTTTATTCCCCCTCATCTCCATTATTCCCCCTCGTCTCCGTTATTCCCCCTTGTCTCCGTTATTCCCCCTTGACTCTGTTATTTTCCCCTTGTCTCCTTAATTATACTCCCGGGATGTAATTTATTGCCTCACTTAGCCTTTTTGCTTTTCTCTGTTAGTCTTCCATTTGTCTTTATTAGCGTTCTTGACTCTTGACCCCTTGCTTTTGTTAGGCCATTTTGCTGTTGTTAGTTCCCTTGCCTCTTGTTAGTCAACCATGCCATGTTAGTTCATCACCCTTACCTCTGTTAGCCCCTCTTGCCTTGTTAGCCCCCCTTGCCTTGTTAGCCCCCCTATGCCTATGTCATTCACCTTGTCTCTGTTAGCCCCCCTTGCCTTGATAGCCCCCCTATGCCTTGTTAGCCCCCCTATGCCTTGTTAGCCCCCCCCCCTTGCCTTGTTAGCCCCCCTATGCCTATGTCATTCACCTTGTCTCTGTTAGCCCCCCTTGCCTCTGTTAGCCCCCCTTGCCTTGTTAGCCCCCCCCCCCCCCTTGCCTTGTTAGCCCCCCTATGCCTATGTCATTCACCTTGTCTCTGTTAGTCCCCCTTGCCCTGTTAGCCTCCATTGACAGCTGTTACCATTCATTACTTCACTTCATGTTACAAAGGATAAGTGTATTCTGTACACAGTAGGATTTTCTATTTCATAATTACTCATAGGGTATATACATATTGTCTGTAAGCTAATTACTTTACGGAGGAAAGGATTTCACTTGAGTTACACAAAAGTATCTTAGTACTAAGGCCATTTTACTCTCACACTTGAACACTGACTTAAATTACTTGTTGCACTGAGATGGCTGTGTGCCAGTGGCCGGATCTGGGAGGATGTTCTCTCGTGATGTAACGTGCTGCGCTTGGCTGACCCCGCTGGCTGATGTCACCTGTCAACACACAATTATCTCAAATGTTGAACATGTGACAGCTGATGTAAGTTCCATGTCAGTTGTGACAGCCAGTCAAAGTGAATTAGATCACAGGTTGTAGTTATCAGCTGCCCCTGTGTAAGACATCAAGCTTGGACCTTCACCAACATTTGCAACAATTTACTGAAAATTGGAACTTGAGGAATAATTGTCATAGCACTAACTGGTAAAAAAGGAAGGGGCAATTATTCCTGCATGCTTTCCCCATGAACATACTTAACAATAGTCCACCAGCAGTCACTACTCTCACTTTAAAGGTGAGGTGAAATGGGCTTGAATGTTGCGTCGAAGATTATTGCACTTCGGCCTATATAGCGACGTGCATGCACGTGTGTGTGTGGCTGCTTGTACTAGTCGGGACTGATGCTGATTTATAGTGCTAGCACACTGAGATACCATGCCGCAGTTTAACACTAATACCCCAGACACAGTATACTGACTCCGAGCTGACCATTCCTTGTTTTAGCCCCTTAATGCAGAATAGCCAGGTAACAACAAGTACCATCTTTTAACGTCTATTGGCATGATGCGGCTGGGGAACAAATCCCTGGACCTTCCTCTCTCCGGACGGAAGCTCTTCCACTGGACCAAGGAGGCTGTCTTTCGATCATAGCATGCAGCTGGTGTGATCAACTTTTGTTCCAGTGACAAAGGGTTGGGGGTTGGGGAGCGGGGGTAAGGAGGAGGAGGATGCCCAGTTAAAAGGTCAGACATTCTCTTGGCCGAGTTGCATCCCTATGTGGCATGATACTGATTTTGAATGACAGATTTGACCTGATTATGTTTCTAGATGTGTCAGCTTCATACACATGTGTGTGGATTACATCAGGGTGGTAGACCTTTAAGACCTGCATCACTTTGGGCTTTCCTCTCACATCAAGCTGATCTGCATACTGATCAAAGTGGCCTGAACCTAAACTCACTTGAAATATCAACATTCTACCTTCACCTCCCTCAGTGATGTGGAAACAGAGTGACTGTGTGGTGTACCAGTTCTGTGATGCTGATCTTTCGACATGATTTGTTTTTGCCAAAATGGATACTGATCAGTTCCAGAGACCACTCTGCTCTCAAACACTTAGGCACCACTTTGACCCCGCTCTCCCACTCCACTCTCCACCACTTTGACCCCACTTTCCCACTCCACTCTCCACCACTTTGACCCCGCTCTACACCACTTTGACCCCACTCTCCCACTCCTCTCTTCACCACTTTGACTCCACTCTCCACCACTTTGACCCCACTTTCCCACTCCACTCTCCACCACTTTGACCCCGCTCTACACCACTTTGACCCCACTCTCCCACTCCTCTCTTCACCACTTTGACTCCACTCTCCACCACTTTGACCCCACTTTCCCACTCCACTCTCCACCACTTTGACCCTGCTCTACACCACTTTGACCCCACTCTCCCACTCCTCTCTTCACCACTTTGACTCCACTCTCCACCACTTTGACTCCACTTTCCCACTCCACTCTCCACCACTTTGGCCCCTCTCTACACCACTTTGACCCCACTCTACCCCACCCTTCACCACTTTGACCCCACTCTACCACTCCACTCTCCACCACTTTGGCCCCACCCTCCCACTCTACCCCACCCTTCACCACTTTGACCCCGCTCTACACCACTTTGACCCCACTCTACCCCACTCTCCACCACTTTGACCCCACTCTACCACTCCTCTCTTCACCACTTTGACCCCACTCTACCACTCGTTATACTCAACTTTGACCCCACTCTACACCACTTTCACCCAATTTTGACCCCTCTCTACCACTCCACTCTACATCACTTTGACCCCACTCTTCCCCACTCTACACCACTTTGACCCCGCTCAGCCCCACTCTACACCACTTTGACCCCACTCTCCCCCACTCTACACCACTTTGACCCCGCTCAGCCCCACTCTACACCACTTTGACCAGTTCTGTGATGCTCAATAGGGTTTTGTCTTTTTACCAGAGCATGGAAACTCTATGTACTCTATGCATTTTCGCAGGGAATATATTTTAGCTAAGCGGAAGCATGTGAGATTATGTAATTTGTATTGTGCGTGCGTTGTCGTTAACTATAACCCTGTCCTCCGCTCCAACCTTCTCCACTAAGTGCTTCGTCCGCCAAGTCAGCTGTAGGCCACGTCAACGACATACTAAATTAACGTGTTTATAATTGCCTCATCAATTGTGAGTATGTCGTATGATGGTCGCGATGACCTTGATGACAGCTGCCTCGAGATTGATCATTTATTTACACCACCGTCTCCCCGTAATGTTTCAGATGAACTCGAGCCATAACACACACGTCCAGCCGAAGCGCTTCCCGACCACGCCCCGTCGATAAACAAATAAACGCTGTCGTGAATAAACCTCAGATAAATAAAGCGTTATCGTGATTTAAAATGACGACAAAATATGAACTCCCAATTGGGAACGTATGCATCAGCACTTTGTTTTATTAAGAAACACTAATAAATAATCAAGTACAAAGGTCCTCAACTTACAACATATGCCAGTGTGGTAATTAAATTTAATGCTTGTCTGATCTGTAAATAGTGTCTTGGCAATTCAAAGAAATTTGCGGAGAAAAATTAAATGGGTAAATTTGCCAAAAAGTTCCAGTTTGCGTGCGAATCCTTGGCGGTTTAATCGATGATTTACGGTAAGTCGGTTCTCGGTGTACGTCAAGATACACTGGAATTTCCTGGCGGCATTTCGGATGTCTGCTTGGCGACAGATAACATAACATTATCACAACCTAGAGTGCATGCACTGGGGTACACTATCTGCCAGGTCGGGGCTCGCCGTCAGCCCTTATATTAGGTAAGCTAATGCTTCAGTCGAATCGTGGGGTAAATATAGTCTGATAAACATCGGATGACAGCATGTTTATACTTATGTTATTTGATGTCAGCCAGTAAAACAGCACGGGCAATACGGGGTTGTAAGTACATGTATATACGTTATTTTGATGCATTGCTTTAGTTTAGTTTTCCTAAGAATGAAATAGATTAATGTAAATTTGATATGATTTATGAGCACCTGTTGCTAATGTTCCACTTAGGACATACGAGGGAATAGAACTAAGTGTAGTGTTACAGTTGTTGCATACGATGGAATAGGACCAATTTTAATGTTACACTTAAATGACATACGAGGAACAGGGGCTAATTATGACTTTACACTTAAATGACACATGAGGGAAAGGGGCTAATTATGACTTTACACTTAAATGACATACGAGGGACAGGGGCCCTATTATGACTTTACACTTAAACGACATACGAGGAACAGGGGCTAAATATGATTTTACACTTAAAAGACATAGGAGGAAAAGGGGCTAATTATGACTTTTCACTTAAATGACACATGAGGGAAAGGGGCTAATTATGACTTT